GCTGTGATTCAACAGTCGATTTCTCAAGAGAGACACACAGGTTGGTGTGTACTGAGCAGTGCAGCACACAAACGCAATCCAAGATCAGAGGGAAATAAAATAAATGACTCGGAAGATTTGCATGAAATGTATGACTGAAATGAAACAGTTCTAAGTAATATATAAATCTTGCCTAGTGCAGCATTTGTGCATGGCGTGACTGTGATTTTATATATATACACTGTGCTGTGAATGTTCACAAATATTACTTTTTCACATATACACCCATATCTCAGAACACGGCGAGACGGATATGCAACCTTAACGGTTTCAAAGGGCAACGCGTGTATTCGGTAGCTCATTTAAAACTGAGGGAATGGGGTTCAGATGTAAAGCAGATGGAATATTGTTCTGTGTGCAAGGAGCGTCATGGTTGAAGGTCAGTGGATGACCACAAATAAATATTCCTCGTGGGTAGAGGCTACTATTGAAGTCCACATCATGCAGATCGTTGTTTGGATATTGATATTCACAGGGTTGGTGTACTCATTGAAGTGAAATACATATTTGGAGGATTTGGTTTTTGCATCCAAATCAGGTGAGACTAGAGGAGCAGTGGCTACGCAAGGGAGGCGTGTGAGCGAGCGAGATGGGGGGACTGGGTGAGGAACGAGTATGCATATGAGTTTGCATATAGAGGGACAAGCACGGCTTCATTTTTGCCGGGTCTCTCCAGGTCTGAGACTCAGAAAATATGTCCACATCCGGCACACCACATCCAGGAATGCATTATGACCGTTGCTCTGAGTTTACGACCCAAGCAATATGCAGTGAGAGATTGAGCCCTGGGAATATGATTTAGGAAAGACAGACATTTGTTTTTTAGCGTTTTGTGCACGTTGCTTTGGGTAAACCGGTGACGAGGAAGATATAAACTATGGATACCAGTGTGATATAGTGACAGAGCTCCACATTAATTCCCATAGATCATGGATGCAAGCTAAATACACTCCAATGATTTTTGCAGTCCGGCACTAACATAAGCCGCTAAAATGCACGAAACACAATTTACTGTAGTATAATTCAGTTAAGCCTATGGCTATGTTGTAAGCAGTCTCCAAAGCTGTGACTTGGTTTAACCAATAATTTGACAATTGTTAGTCTAAGGTCACTTAATTTTACAATGTTGTGAAAACCATCGCCAAATATGCGATTGGAAAATAAAAATATATATATACATCCGAATCAAGCACAACATTTCCGTAAAAATGTTTTAAAATAACTTATTATTGCGATTTGTCCATGAAAGCCTCGTTAAGTCTTCATGAAAAAAACTCAACAAATCGTCAGTTACGTGTTGCATTTTTCGCGCAACGCAGTACCACCAAATAATGCATTTAATTGTATCCTGACTTAAAGCTTTCGTGACTGCAGGAATTCATATTCTTTGGGTTTTTCGGTAAAGTCACGTGACTTTACCGAAATACCCAAAGAATATGAGAGGTTTTATGAGGCTCATGATTGGGATTGTTAGCCAATTTGTCATTTCGCCAGAGGAGTGCCCACAATACCTAGATTGAATAACATTCAAGAAATCCACAAACAATTATCGTTCCCCTACATGGGCGCACTGTAATATACCCAGGCACTGAATAGTCGATGGATCAGAGGAGAAATTAATACCACTGAAAGTTGCAAAACTTTAGTCATACCCGTGTATGCATACGGCCAATAAGAGTGGACTATTGTATAACCCACCCACATAATTATCACATCATTCACTGAACATGTATCACGTCGAGTGATACCGACAAGTAACGAAATACACGATTTGGGCTCATGGCCGAGCATCGTTTACCGTGAGTCACAAGGCACTCCTACAATGGGTTGTACAACATGGAAGCGCTACCACGCCCTACGAGGTTCTATATACAGTAGACGTATTGGACAGAGCAGTCATTGCCTGGGGGCCAAATCCTGCATGCAGCCTCCCAAATGAACGCCACTTTTCCGTCGCGATATCAACAGCGGCCACGACAGGGCGCGCGTTCACAGCTCGCAACGTCGTCGCACTCAGCCCACCACGGGAGGGAGATACAATCACGGGGCACCTCGCACGATGATCTGCGTGAAGGCAGCCTCCTCTTTCTCTCTGTATTTGCTTCTGAACACAACACTGGCAGCAGAAGTCGCACACCCCCAACTCCCCCTGGATTTGATAACAGTGTGAATGTGGTAACTGGGTTACCGTGCTCATGACAAAATAAAACGTAACAAAGCTAAATGTGTGCAAAGAAGCGTGGAGAGATGCAGGGTGGAATTTGGTTGGGGGATTTACCCGGCTCAGTTTCTGGGTAAAGTATTTTGAATTCGCAATGCGAGGTGTTGCGGATGCTGGCTGTGACGTGGACTGAAGATGGAAGTACATAAATGGATTGGTGATTTTCAATATGCTGTGCTTTGAATGTCACAGACACTTTTATACGTGTGGTGGGTTTTATCCGTGTGCTCTAGTTTCATCCTACAAGAATCCAAACTCTCACTCGTGGAAATGTTCAAAGAACCTTGTTTAGCAGGACTCAATAAAGTCTTGAGAACCAGTGAGGCATCCCAAGGTGAAATGCATTACAGTATTTTAAAATGCATGCAACACCTTCAGGCAATATCACACTTTGTTGAATTATTATTCTTAGCTATTTGTCACGACGTGTCGGTACGACTATTTGATCATACTTCACCATTATGGTCAATATGGTTTTACGTAAGCCTTTCTAAGGTATGGCTCCATTCCAACCCTCTACTGGAAAGTTGACCAATCGCACCTTGGAGAGATGCACGGTCAAACTTAACGTGCAAGATACAACTTCGCAGGTAAATGACAAGTAGGCAAACGTGGATAGGACGATTGCCACGCGAGTGCCAGCCACGAGATGGATCGCGTCCGAGAGGACATCCTCCGAGGAGATGGAGCGATGGAATCGGCTCGTGTGCAGGCGCTGGGTTCAATGTTGCATCGCAGGATCGTGAGAGATGGCGGAGGCCTTCATCTAGCAGTGGATTATCCGCAGTGCACTTCCTGACCCGCCCATACTGGACATCTGTGAAAAAGAGATTCAGAGCTCATCGGATTCCTCCTTCAGTCGAAAAAAAGTTTCTGATTCTGAAAGCGAAACTCTGCTCGGTCAATGGACTGGTTCTCCAGCTTGTGTGAATTGCAGTTTGCGCTGTATGATTACCATAACCGGTCATTTTCATATCGAATGTGCAAGTGCGTTTGTGTTTATTTATCCAAACAAGCGTCGAGCCGTACTCGGCCATATCAGAGGCAAATCTGGTGTCAATTTCACATTCATATGGCCGGGCGCAGTCTATCCGGTGGACAATACGCTCACTATTCACTTTAAACAATGGTAACCTCTGCCACACGCTTCTATGTTATATACACGTACCAGTGTGTTGGTGTACGTGTGCTAGGATGTGTGTGATAAATGTGACGTTATTGTAACCGTGTCGTTGGTGATGGTGAGTCCTTGTGATGGATGTGCGTGTGTGTTATGCTGACTGTGGGGAGCGGTGGTGTAGCGGTTAGCGCTACGCTGCGCTATAAACCCGGCTACACGGGTTCGACTCCCGCTCACGGCCAACACCGGTGACGATTATCTGAACCGGTTCTGAGCCTCCCTTAGGTCGACTCAGCCTCAAATTAGTACCTGGTACGGTGTGTAGACAAAAGCGGTCGGGCATGGTGCTGGCCACCCACCCCCTCGTGTACCGTTTCGGCCTTTATAGGTGCTCGCTAACAGCACTTACCCCTACAGTCTGTTAAGGCTATACGGGGGTCTTTGTATTTGTGTATATGGAGTGCCGATGGCTGGGACCAGCGGTGTCAAGATCGTCCTCTGTGGAGGAGGCTCGTGAGGGACGCTACTGGGTAGTTGGAGGCAGTCGCCCTCCAACAACAGCGGAGGGCGGAGGAGCGACGCTCACAACAACGAGCGGAACGCCGGGCGGTTAAAACACAGCAAGTTGGCACAGTAGGGGGCACAGGTGGTGCATTGGCCAGTCGTCATCTCAGTCGTTCAACCCGTGGCACCTGCTGGCTCTGTCCTCTGATCTCCTGCCAGCCGGCGTTCGACACTTCACGTGGCACTTTAAGTGCACTTAGCCTGGCACGTGGTGACGTGACCACCACTGAGTGGCGATTGGCCGTTGTTGCTGTTGGTATATGATGCATCACGGCGTGCGGTGAGTGTGAGAGAGACGGCCCACACGTGCGGGTGAGGCGGGTGAGGTGCCGAGGATGGAGAGCAGGGCGGTGAGGATCAGAAGATGGAAACATCAGGGGTGATGCGCGGGGTGCGTGGGGAGCGGATAGGAAGGAGTAGGAGGTGAGGAGTGGGAGGTGAGGAGGAGGAGGTGAGGAGTAGGAGGTGATGAGGAGTTGAAGGTGAGTAGGAGGTGAGGAGTGGGAGGTGAGGAGTGGGAGGTGAGGAGTGGGAGGTGAGGAATTGGAGGTGAGCTGTTGGGGGTAAGGAGCAAAAGGCGAGGAGCTGTAAATGAGCGAGCGGTGAGCAGCGAAGGGTGAGGAGCAGGGGGTGAGGACCAGAAGGGTAGGAGGAGCTGTGTCAAGAGCAGGAGGTGATGAGTTGGGGTGAGGAGCAGGGGGGGGGGGGGTGAGGACCAGGGGGGAGGAGCAGGGGGGAGGGTGAGGAGCAGGGGGGGATCAGGGGGGGGGGGAGCAGGGGGGGGGAGCAGGGGGGGGGGAGCAGGGGGGGGAGCAGGGGGGGGGGGAGCAGGGGGGGGAGCAGGGGGGGGGAGCAGGGGGGGGGAGCAGGGGGGGGAGCAGGGGGGGGGAGCAGGGGGGGGGAGAGCAGGGGGGGGGGGAGAGCAGGGGGGGGGGGGGAGCAGGGGGGGGGGGGAGCAGGGGGGGGGGAGCAGGGGGGGGGGAGCCGGGGGGGGGGAGCAGGGGGGGGGGAGCAGGGGGGGGGGAGCAGGGGGGGGGAGCAGGGGGGGGGATCAGGGGGGGGGTCTCCTCCCCACGTCACAAGGCAGCGTCACGTCTCCCCACCCCGCGCTAAGATGGCGAGGCGAGGTCCGCTCTGCCGAACAGCGGCGGCGGCAGTGGCAGTGACATCGCAGCGCGGCGCCGTGAGCAGAGCTTAGAGCTCAGCCAGCCAGCCAGCATCGCTCGCAACCACCACCACCACCACAACCAAGCAGCACCACCACCACAACCAAGCAGCACCACCACCACCACCCACACACTCGCGACGCCGGCGCGTGGCCACGAGCGCACGCAGCCTCCGCCCAGCCCGGGTTGGTGTCGAGATGTCGCTCCTGTGCGTGAGAGGTAAGCGGATATTTTGACATGTCACTAAATCTATACATCTCTCTCTCTCTTTCTTTTGGCGTCGCCGCCGTCGTTAACGTTCTTCCTCCTCCTGCAACGCGCGTGTTGTTGGTCGGCCCGCATCGCCCCCCTTGCCCCCGAGTGCACCTGCTGACAACACCGTCGCCTCTGCATCGTCGTGCGGGTTAGGTGATGATGATGGTGATGATGATGAAGATGGTGATGTGGTGGTGGTGCTTATTGCGTCGCTGACAACGAGAAGAGAGAGGAGGGAGAGTCCCTCGTTGCCAGCGGAGAGAGAGGAGAGGAGAGAGGGGAGAGAGAGAGGGGAGCGGCGTTTGTTGTTGCACCCCGGGACCTGTTGCCGCGCGCTCCGCTGTGCCGGGCTGCTGAGCGCACAGCGGTGGAGGCGTGCGGTGTGCGTCTCGCTGCACAGATTGTGTGTGTGTGTGTTCTCATTGTGTGTGTGTGTTCTGTGTGTGTGTTCTCATTGTGTGTGTTCTGTGTGTGTGTGTTCTCATTGTGTCTGTTCTGTGTGTTCTGTGTTCTCATTGTGTGTGTTCTGTGTGTGTGTGTGTTCTCATTGTGTGTGTGTTCTGTGTGTGTGTGTTCTCAATGTGTGTGTGTGTTCTCATTGTGTGTGTCTGTGTGTTCTCATTGTGTGTGTGTGTGTTCTCATTGTGTGTGTTCTGTGTGTGTGTGTTCTCATTGTGTATGTGTGTGTGTGTGTTCTGTGTGTGTGTGTTCTCATTGTGTGTGTGTGTGTTCTCGTTGTGTGTGTGTGTGTTCTCATTGTGTGTGTGTCTGTGTGTTCTCATTGTGTGTGTCTGTGTGTTCTGTGTGTGTGTGTTCTCATTGTGTGTGTGTGTTCTCATTGTGTGTGTGTGTTCTCATTGTGTGTGTGTGTGTTCTCAGTGTGTGTGTCTGTGTGTTCTGTGTGTGTGTGTTCTGTGTGTGTGTTCTCATTGTGTGTGTCTGTGTGTTCTGTGTGTGTGTGTGTGTTCTCATTGTGTGTGTGTATTCTCAGTGTGTGTGTGTGTTCTGTGTGTGTGTTCTCATTGTGTGTGTCTGTGTGTTCTGTGTGTGTGTGTTCTGTGTGTGTTCTCATTGTGTGTGTCTGTGTTCTGTGTGTGTGTGTTCTGTGTGTGTTCTCATTTTGTGTGTCTGTGTGTTCTGTGTGTGTGTTCTCATTGTGTGTCTGTGTGTTCTGTGTGTGTGTCTTGGTGTTCTCATTGTGTGTGTGTTCTCATTGTGTGTGTAGTCAGTGTGTGTGTGTAGTCAGTGTGTGTGTGTATTCAGTGTGTGTGTGTATGTGTAGTGTGTGTGTGTACTCAGTGTGTGTATGTGTACTCAGTGTGTGTATGTGTACTCGGTGTGTGTGTGTAGTCAGTGTGTGTGTATGTGTACTCAGTGTGTGTGTATGTGTACTCAATGTGTGTGTATGTGTACTCAATGTGTGTGTGTGTGTACTCAGGTGTACTCAGTGTGTGTGTGTGTGTGTACTCAGTGTCTGTGTGTATGTGTAACTCAGTGTGTGTGTGTGGGGAGCGGTGGTGTAATGGTTAGCGCTACGCTGCGCTACGAACCCGGACGCCCGAGTTCGATTCCCGCTCACGGCCAACACCAGTGACGATTATCTGAACCGGTCCTGGGTCTCCCATAGATCGACTCAGCCTTAAATGAGTACCTGGTGTGGTGTGCTACCATCGCCACTGGGGAGACAAAGGCGGCCGGGCGTGGTTCTGGCCACCCACCCCCTCGTGTCCCGTTTCAGCCGTCATAGGTGCTCGCTAACAGCACTTGCCCTTACAGTCTGTTAAGGCTATACGGCGTGGAGGGGGGCTTTGTATTTGTACTCGGTGCGTGCACGACCGCTCGGAGCCAGCAAGCTGCTATTCCGGATTCGCGTGGTCCCGGCGTTGCACGGACGTGGCCATAAATCAAAGCGCATCATCGCCATGCCCCCACCGGTCCCACATCCTCGCCGCAATGAGCTTAACTACCTCTGACAGTGCGGTAATCCGGCTTGGTTTGCGCCGCTGATTCCCCCCCCCCTCCCATCCTCCTTCATGAGTCGGTGTCCATACGCCAGAGCGGAAATCCAGCAGCACCACCACCACCTCGGCAGGGAGCTCACAACTTTCAGGGGCACCCATTTATTAACGCGGCCGCCAGCCAATGCGAGCGAAATCGTTTGAAACCTCGCGCAAATGTGTGTCGCACAGTTCACTGGTATTGGCCACGTAAGGAAAATGGAACCAGTAAATTGTGTCACCCCCCCCCTCCCAGTGAAGTATTTGGTCTGGGTTCTTGGACTGTGGAAGTGCTGGATGATAGTCTCTATTTTGGGTGGTGGGTGGTGTTTGACCATACTTCACCACGCTGGTCAGTGCAGGTTGGTGAAGACGGGGACTGTAGGGGCAAGTGCTGTTAGCGTACAACTATATATGTTGCTGCACACTGCCGTCTGTTCTCCATCACATAGCCCCACGCAGCCACAGACTATAACGCCCTGGTATGCATATGTCAACAACAACATCATCATCGCCATCACCACCACCACAATGGCTGGAAGCGCGTGTCTTGGCTGCCTGCCTGGGATATGCGGCGGGCGCACAGCGCTCGAGAACAAGCGCGAAGGGACAGACGGAGCTAGATAAGTCGCGTTCCGTACTCCACATGGGGGGCTCCTGCACACGTGGTACAGTTCTCGAAAGTCGGCACTGCTCGGTCGGGACTGCAGGTCGGCAAGTGCCAAAGTGGCGAGTGAGCGGCGGCGTCCTCAGAGGGGGGAGGAGGAGTAGGAGGGGGTAGGAGGAGGATGGAGTAGGAGGGAGTAGGAGGGGGTAAGAGGAGGAGGGGGTAGGAGGATGGAGTAGTAGTAGGAGTAGTAGGAGGAGTAGGAGGGGGTAGGAGGATGGAAGAGTAGGAGAGTAGGAGGAGGTAGGAGTAGGAGGAGGGGGTAGGAGGAGGAGGAGGGGTAAGAGGATGGAGTAGTAGTAGGAGGAGTAGGAGGGGGTAGGAGGAGGGGGTAGGAGGAGGAGGGGGTAGGAGGACGATGGAGGGGTAGGAGGAGGGGGTATGAGGAGGATGGAGGGGGTAGTAGGAGGAGGATGTTTTCATGAGCAGTGAACACAGCGGCAGCAGCAGCAGCAGTAGCGGCGGGCAGATCCGGGAGGGAGACTTCCGGAGGTGATTGAGAGGACCGCGGCGCGCGTCACGCACAACACACGCGTCACGCACACCACGCACGTGTACACTCACACACACGTGTACACGCACACACACGTGTACACGCACACACGCACGTGTACACTCACACACGCACGTGTACTCGCACGCACGTGTACACACGTGTACACGCACACACACACGTGTACACACACACACGTGTTACACGCACACACACGTGTACACGCCCACACAAACGTGTACACACACACACGCACACACACACGTGTACACGCACACACCTCAACGGACTGTAGGGGCAAGTGCTGTTAGCGAGCACCTATGAAGGCCGGCACGGCACGCGATGGGGTGGGTGGCCAACACCACGCCCAGCCGCCTGTCTCCCCTAGTGGAAATGTTTTTACGCACCGGCTACTCATTTGAGGCCGAGTTGACGTAGGGGAGGCCCATGACCGGTCCAGATAATCGTCGTTGCTGTTGGCCGTGAGCGGGAATCGGTACTCGGGTCGCCAGGATCGCATCGTAGCGCGCTGACCGCTACGCTACCGCTCCCCACACGCACTGACAAGAACACCACACATACACTGAAGGTACAGACACTGACAATTACACTCACTGACCAGTACATGCGGACACTAATACACACACACACTGAACAACGTGTATGTGTGTATACGTTGAACTTCTTTCACACCGTACGCAGCCAGCCGTGCTAATGGGAGGTGGCACGGTTGGCTCCGTGTCGCCTTCACCGACTTGTTGTGTCGCCTGCTTAGAGGAACACGCGCACACGGGCAAGTCCAAGCACTTACAAACAACAACACCAAGCGCCATTGGCCACTAAGTGGCGGTGACGTCACCACGACGCTTGTGCCAGGCTAGGTGCACGTTGAGGCCACGTGAAGTGTCGAACGCCTGCTGGCAGGTCACGGGGCAGACCCAGCAGGTGCCACGGGTCGACTGACTGAGATGACTGAGATGACTGGCCAATGCACCACCTGTGCCCCCTACTGTGCCAACTTGCCGTGCTTTAGTCACCCGGCGCTCTGTTCGTTGTTGTGAGCGTCGCTCCTCCGCCCTCCGTTGTTGCTGCTGGAGGGCGACTGCCTCCAACTGCCCAGTAGCAACACCAACAACATCATTAAAAACACAAACTAACGCGCAGACACACAACGAGCACACACTGACACGAATACAGACACACAACGAGCACACACTGACACGAATACAGACACACAACGAGGACATGCTCACATTGGCGAGCACACTGAGATGCACATCCTGACAAGCAAAGGCATGGAAGCACTAACACGCACACACATCATTCATGCACATACATGGCATGTATTCAATCATTCCTCTTTGCAACATTATACTAACTTATCTCGTTTTATTGTTTATATATGTCCTTAATTATGAATAAATCGACAGAAACACGATAACACACATACACCTCCAAGCACACTCCACAGACTACAATGCATCGCACACTTTGAATGATCTAACCACGCAAAGCCCTCTGCATTCCACGTAGTCGCCGAAACTAAAGAGAGGAGGTGTTTTATAACAGGTGAATTTAAAGTTTAATCACATACAAGAGCTCCTGAGTCCACTGCGTATCGTGCCTTTAGTAATTACACAGCTTGGTTAACGATGCCAATATTAGGGAGAACGTTTGGCACATAAATAATTTCCCCATCTCTTTGAGGGCACTGCATTCCCTGGGAGGCAAACTTTGTGTTCTAAGTTTGTGTGAGACACCTCACCAAAATACTTCAGGGACCCCTATTTGTTATGTGGGCGGAAGCCGTATCGATTTTGTTGTTTGTTTTTGGGAAAGACACGGGGTATTTGATGGAAAACTGCTGTGCATCTAAATTGGTTTCCACTGCGGTGGAAAGTTACGTGTCCACCCCAGCCTCAATCCCACGCGCGATGGAGGATGGAGGAGGAGGATGGGAGGGAGACATTCTAGAATCTAGAACAAGTGACGTGTGGCGTTATCGCAGCAGCAGTTGCCGGTGCTGCTGCTGGAGGTGTCGATGATGATGACGACGACGACGACGATCCTTTGCGTCTTACTTGTTTACCCAGGCAGATTTCGGTGTGTGCAGCCCCAACTCTCGTACGCGTTGCAAACGCACAAATATGAATAAATGTTTGTTTACCGAGTGTCGAGTTTGCGTTGTGTGTGGTGGTCAACATAGCCCGCAAGTCTGCGGCTTGCGTGCTTACACAATGCTAGCCCGGTAAGCATCGTGGGGGCCCACGGGAATCACCGCCCAACCCGCGATCGCGGAATGCAGAGAAGGGCTCGGTTCAATAACGACCATGCAGATGAGTTTACACGCATACTAATTGTGATGCTAGATTGACCACGAAGGCAAGTGACGGCACAGTACATTTTATTGGGTCACAGGCATCGTTGCGTGGGTTGTGTGGTTGGCGCTAGACGATGCAATTCAGGATCCGAGGGTAATTCCTCTTAATTTTACGCAAAAATAAACGAAATGATAACAGAAAACAATGAAGAAAACGTCGCGAACAGAATGTCGTGTGGCCAAAAATGATGTGTACCAAAACAATTCTTGATTTTCTCTACGTGAAGGGACAGATATCGGAAGGTGATTATTTTGTTGAGCGAATTTTTTTTTACAAATCATAATTTAAGTGATCCCATCCCTTGACTTAATTGCAAATACGTTTTTTTTCCATACAGCCATAAATGCAAATGATGCTAAATAGACGTTCTAGATGTGACAATATATTTCAGTGTCCCTCTATCCGAAGTCAGCTATGTTGTTGCTGGTATCCCCACACCTCAACCTGTGCCCGCACCTGCCGCCTCTCTTGACACACACAAAGACAGAGATCCCCCTTATAGTCTTCACAGACTGTTGGGGCAAGTGCAGTTAGCGAGCACCTATGAAGCCCGGCACGGCACACAAAAAAGGGGGTGGGTGGCCAACACCACGCCCGGCCGCCTTTGTTTCCCCAGTGGCGATGTTTTTTAACACAACGCACCATGTACTCATTTTGTGGCTGAGTCGACCTAGGGGATGCCCAGGACCGGTTCCGATAACCGTCATTGGTCTTGGCCGTGAGCGAGAATCGAACTCGGGTCGCCGAGTTCGTAGCGCAGCGCGCTAACAGCTACACCACCGCTCCCCACACACACTGTCCAACAACATCGTGGAGCGTGGAGGCTAGAGGGAATCGGAGCCTTGAGAGACACTGCTCCAGCCACCCACTGCCCCATCCCTCCCAATGTCCCCCCCCCCCCCTCCACAGCACACACCAGCCTGCTTCCACGATCGCCCCTCCCGTCACGCCCTATTATCCCTTGCAATATCCCTTCCCCTTACCCTCCATTATATTTTCTGTTCTCCCCCCACCACCCCTCCATCTCCCTCCCCTCACCCAAGCCATTATCCCCTTCCAATTCATGCTGTTGCCCCCCCCCTTCCTCTATCCCTTACTGTCCTCACCTTATCCTCCATTATCCCCCATGCTCTCCCCTCTTCCTCCCCTATGCTAATGCTATTGTATATAGACACAGCACTGTACAAATAACACGTGTAGACTGATGCTGATAGGGTCCTCCTTTGTAATAGTGTGTGCAGCACACCACTGCGCGTAGATGTAAGACGTGCAGCATCTTAGGTGCGAAAGCTCTCGGCATTGTGCAGACCACCAATTCAAAAGAACTGCCACGTGTGTCCATTTCGTCATTTAGACGACCAACCTTAACAAACATTTGATACGTGGCAATCCACCTCTGCACAGTTTGTTGTGGTGGGTAAGGGAAGAATGTCAACGATCGTCCTACTATAGCCACACATCACAGCACAATGAAACACTGGAACGAAACACCAACAACCTACACACTTGTGACCACGTCCTCTAACACGCTGGCTACGGAATCCACGTATATTCCGTGATTTAGTTGGAATGAATTGGAGAAGAAGGTGCCAGACAAACCTCGCCGGCTATTCTTCAGCAGCCACTCGCATCTCTTGAGCTCATGGCAGAGGTGGCGAAATCTTGGTTTGCCATTTCAACTCCCATTGTGTTGGGTATAGAAAGGTCTCGGGTAATTTCACAAATGTTTGCAACTCATTAGGACTGCAAAGCATCACAGTGCATGCAACATAGTTATTGACATTACCATTCCTCTCAATATATTTCACACTAATCTGATTTTACAAGCGAATCAATTCTAGTCGTGTGTAAGTACAAATGTATGGCCATTGTCATTTGTTTCACTGCCAAAGCAGTACCAACATTTTGGCTATTCGCCCTTCATACCTTCTGGTTACACCAGCCCACAGAGGATTATTGTGTCCGTCCGTCGTGCATCCAAAAATGGGAGGGGTGGGGCTTGGTGGAGAGGGGAGGGTGGGGTGGGGCTGGGTGGGGAGGGTGGGGAGGGTGGGGCTGGGTGGGGAGGGGCTGGTCACCCCGTGGTGCCCTTATAAAACTCAACGTTTAACCGACTCACGCCGGCTTGTGCCCGCCGGCTTGTGCCCGCCCTCACAGTCGGCCATATTTGCAGAATACACCACGGCACCGTTGACCCTGGCCATTGACCGAGCAACCCAACGTTCCTACCAGCTCCCTCCGCAGGAATGTGTTTATTTTTACCCCCATGTATGTCTAACTGAATACCGTGCTTTATATGTATATAAGAAGTCTTATATACGATGGTGTGTAAACGTCATCGCACCTGCATTATTGCATGGGCAGCAGTTTCATCTGCACTGCACCAGGTCTCGATGTCCTGTAATGCAGCATACGGCATCTTCGGGTCGAAAATAAATAAAACGATGTTGCACCTTGTACAGAGGGCTTGCTTGCCTCTTGTCTCCCATGTATATCTCTAGAAAATTTAAGGCCAATTAAAATATTTGGCCAACGGAATCGTACGCTGAATACATTTCGGGGGATTCCTCGTGTGATGTTCCAGTATTGCGATGCCATGCGCAGTACATTGTGTGTGATGCGGCATGAGTGTTTCATGCTTTTATCTAAGTTTTTTTTACATGCACAGCTCTTTTCTCTATCTACTGCTGGATGATGGCTTTTCCACACCATGTGGGTCATGGGGGATATTTGACAATGTCACCATGCTGGTCATTCTGGAAGGTGGGGAGCATGGACGTTGGAGCACAGGGCAGTACAACAATTAACTTTGCTGCACCGACCTATGCTAACAACATTAGCCCTCCAGAAGCCTATGACACCTGTTATGCGTGGCAGTCCCTCATCCAAGCACTATCTAGGTTCAAACCAGCTTAGCTTCCAAGGTCTGATAAGATTTGTCACGTTCCGGATAACTTGGTCCGAGGCAGCGTATTGGTTATACCTTTAATACAAAGTTAATATGCGTTATTTAAGGACCGAAGTCTCCAGTGCACAGGTATCATTTCCTGGGCTTGAAATTCCCAAGACAAAGGGGCATCAAGGACCCAGTTGGCCCCTCGGATGTTTGGGTGCAGTGGGCCAGGTCACGCACATTCAGGATCCCACTTTGCTAAGTCACATACGCTTCCCGTTGCACAGGTTTTATTGCGCCCTTAGAATTTCCCACGGAGATCTGCAGAGGGGATAGATGAGGTGAGCGGGCCGCTGTGGCTGGGCGGTATCGCCTCAGTTCAGGCAGCTGTTTGTGTAAGCAATATTTGCTGAATGATTGAAATGATATGATGGATACTCATGTTGTGAACAAGAAGAGTTCTACGATATTGAATAATGGCCACATTTATACATATTTGATACACCCTATGCTGGGGTCGATTGGTGAGGAGGGAGTGGTGGTGCAGCGGGTAGCGCACTGCACAATGAACTTGGTGACCTGCGGTCGTTCCCAGCCACGGCTAACATCAGTGGTCAGTGATATCGAAACTGGTCCTGCGCCACCACTTCATGACTTCCTACTGACCAGCATGGTGAAGTATGGTCAAAAGACCCCTATGAACCCCTGATTTTTTTTTGGGTTATCAATTGTTGTTGGACATGATTGTCTGATGTTTCGCTGCACATGCTGGGAGCTTCCTCAGTACATTAATGGAGCACATTCATCCAACAGTGGATTGCCAAAGGCCTGAAGCTTAATTGGGGTATAATGTTCGTGGAATCATTTCATGTACCTCAGTTATTAGCTCGGCCATTGCGTTTGTGAGGCGCGATACAAAGTGTTGATGTTCTCAGAACGAAAATATCGTTCGGTAAACAAGGACTGCATTACCTGCACCTGATGTTCTGTGTGAAGAGAAGGTGGTTGTTTTTTTTGTTATCATGTTTGGAGTTGATTATACAATATGTTCATCGGGTTTTTTTCTCACCAGCATTGTTAACGACAGTTCCCTTGTGTTTGTGCAGCAAATATAGCAAGCCAGAATCATGGATTACCTATAAAATATAATATTAAGTCAGTTTGTCAATTGTGAACAATTGTGAACGAATTAAAATGCTAGGCTTTTTACGCTGTTGAACAGACAAATCTATCAAAGGGTTGCCCCAAACTTCGAGACGCAAACCAGAGTTTGGAGTTGTTGCAAATATTCCAGTGTTGTGGCTGTGAGGGCAAAACACGTTTGCTACTTAAATATTTCCAAAGACGTGTTATAATATCCATGCATGTGAATGCTTTTTTAAAAATTTGTATTGGAACTTCATAGAGCTGTTGCTCACAGTAATGTTTTTTCTTGTATTTTTGTCTTTCAGTAAAGAAAGCAAAGCTTTCGGGACCACCAGGTAAGCTGATGCATTCCAGCGGTCATGTGTTACCCCACACAACAGATTTCTACCATTTAAAATGTTTTTTCTTACATCTTATATGACAGTAAAAGTGACATGGCTGTCATCTTTAACTGTAATCTGACCATCATGTATTCTTATTCATATTCTTGGTTCTTTCGGTAAAGTCACGTACATAGAAATATATATAATTAAATGAAAATGAAAAAATCATGTTTTCTCTTTTATTGACCACCTTAGAGTTGAAAAGTTTGAGTAGAATAGCATTTTTTATCAGTTTTCCCATAATTACTTTTTCTTGGAATACACTGCCGTGCTGGGGATTTGCAGCACACCACAAAGTGTCAGCTGGGTAAACATATTTCTAAATTAGGAGTTTCATATACATGTGGTTGGTGTCTGTGGGGACTTTATAGTGTCTGGTTTCAAGGTCCGCCAAAGGCATGGGTGGGGGGGGCTCGCTTTGGTCCTTGAGTGGAAGGAGTGCTTAAAATCCCGCTCTATTGTGTTTGGTTGTATAGTTAACATGCAATAGGATATCTGAATGAAACCGAACAAGATGAGTGGAATGTATGTTATCCTCCTTTTGTGGAAAGCTCAGGGATGGTGGCACAGTGGTTATCACACTGTTCTCTTAACCTACCGACCTGTGTTTCATTCTCAGCCACGGCTAACAGTGGAGAATGATTTCTGAATCAGTCCTGAGTGATTGATCCACGCTGACCATCTTGTACGAGTAGACAGACAAAAACTGCAAAGGACTCGATCAATCTCAAGAATTATTTGATGGAAATTTACAAACAAAATGTCGAATGTGATTGTCGGGTAAAAATGTCTTGCCACTCCTTGCTCGCCACGGTTGGGAATTGAACTCGGGTGATCAGGTTCATAGTTCAGTTCACTAACCACTTGCAGTCTTGTTTTAATTTCTCACTCTATGTCGCCATTACACGTGTGCAATAAATGAGGCAAGATAATGCTTGTTGTGGGTGACGTCGTCTACCTTGCGTATTTCTTGCGTCAGAATTCCAAGTATTGTGTTGACGAACGTCACGAATGCATCACGGCATCAGCGACAGTGTTTCACAGACGCACAGGGTAGCTGAAGTTTAGGTAAATGTCACGTTATTGTCCCTGGATATTCAAAGCACCTCATGCGTGACGCCTGCCACGTCACGCGCATGACGCCATCGTCATAATCCCCAGCTGTTGTTTATCCATTGCTGTGTGGAGGCCTCTTCACGATGTCGCCATCCCTCATGGCTCTGCTGTACCGCAATCCATTTCACTCCTGCACGTGGACTGATTCCATCATTCCATCTCTGTGGTGGGCATCTTCTTTGGTGTGTTTCCTCCTTTGGCTGACATTCTATAACCAGCCTAATCTGCCAGCCATTACACACAGTGATGTATCTTTCCCAAGCCACAATACATTTTCTAAGCAGTTCACGTAATACCTCTAATTTGCATTTTAATCGGCAATCCGTGTGTTCTTCCCGTTTCTAAGTGTAACTCCGAACGTGTCTCGTGACATCATAACTCCCATTCACTCCCTCGCGTCTCGTGACGTCATCGCGCCCTCTCGTCAGAACCACATCCCAATGTCGCGTGACATCATTACGCCTCTCATCACCTCCCCAGTGTCTCTCAACGTTATCAGCCCTCTCCTCCAACTCACCAGTGTCGCGTGATGTCATTACCCCCCTTGTCTGAGCCTCACCCAAATTTCGTGTGACGTTTATCAACCCCTTGTCCTCACCACTCCCGCGTATCTTGCTGCATCACTCCCTCTCCTACACCTCACCAATGTCGCATGATGCAATAACCCGGCCCCCCTCCACAGTATGACACAGTGTGGGGTAGAGCTGGTCAACAAACAGCTCCGGGCCCCCGTTCGCCCCCTGCCGCCGCAGAATGCATTCGATCGATCGGCTTTCGATCGCTATGCGAACATTTTGCTCGTTTTGCGAACAAATTGGTCGAGATTCAAATTTCTCGTCATAGCGGATACTCGTAGAAAGAACGCTCTTTAAGCGAGACACGCATGTACAGAATTTGTTGAATCACCAAAAATCATACACCCACTTGGAAGTCATGGTACTGGTATATGTTTTAATGTCAGTCCTATTACGTATTTAATCAATTATAATCGTTAACTAGGATGCAATTAATTTTCAAGCCTGATGGTTTATTACAAACTTTCCTTTTTAGCCAACGGATAAGTATGGTGGAGTAAATACCAATTCATTGCCAGATCCTAAAGTTAACTATTGACAAAATACAGTGCAATAGAATGACTTGAAAAAAAGCCTTTAAGAGATAAATGTTGCTGTAGTCACGTTATATTGATCTCCGCTGACTTTGATGATCTATTAATGAGGTCATTGCCGTCTATTCAATACACAGAGCTTGTTTATATTGGTTTTTATTGTGCCGGGAATTGGGGACATTTCCAGCAAGTCCGTCTGTGTAAATTGTGGACTTGGGGGAATTTCAGAGCCGTTACAAGGACTATGCTTCACGTCACGTGCCACCTACAAAAACTGCAGCCACATATTCCTCTTCCAGCACGGCTTGCTTTGTGCCGAGAAATATAATGCAGCCAAAGCTTTGTAATTAAAATAATTGATGCATTCAATAAGCCTCCTCCTTTAGTTACGCAATGCACAATCACACATGAAATATTAATAGATTTTTTTTCTTGATAAAATCGGCAGCAGCCTTGGCGGGTCACCTGACCCAGTGTTGTAGCAGCAATCTATGTTTTGTATTACACCTTAACAGCTTTTAACGGTGTGGTGAAATAATAATTGAAAGTTTTTTAAAATTCCAGTAAATATTTTTTTACAATAACGACAAACGTTAAATACTGCAGTCCGTAACGTTGCGCAATGCTCCTCTCCCAGAGTGTGTGGTGATAACGCGCACCGCATGCGTTCCCGATGGGAATCGAGCATGCACTCATGCCCGGGATGTGAATGTTGAAAGGGCCATCGACCCACATTTAGCCAATAAGAGGGCATTATTTAAAATAATACAGTAATGATATTAACATATCCTTTTTACACAGTGTAATTTATGCAATCGCATCACAACGCGGTTGCAATCTGCAAACGCACATGCGCATACATTAAGATGTTTTCAGCCAATTAATGAGCGCTAATGCGTGCGGTTATAGAATGCTCATGTGGCACCGCCACAGATACTCATGTATTTAAATATGCATTATCGCTTCTCACTCTATTCGTCACAGATTAGTCATCGTGCAATATGCGCCCACTTTATTAATATTGATTATCCACCTGCGAACCATTATACATCTACGACAGTATTGCCAACGCTATGTAGTTGAAACGAGTGAGTAATAAATCATGTAAATTCACATCCATTGTTGTCAGTCCACTGTAAGATGAGGGCCTCTCTCCCCACGCCTTGCGGGTCATGGGGGTTACCCGACCACCCTTCATCATGCTGGTCACTGTGGGTTGCTGAAGCTGGGGAGCCTAGGTATTGGAGCATGTATAGTACAACCAATGGCAGAGCCAGGATTTCCAGGTAGTGGGGGCAGCCCTTCCAGCAATAAAAACGAGTTGTTAGTAAGGACTTGTCCCTTTCTTTTTATTCGACGCGTGTGCGGCGATGGCGCAGCCATCGATCGAGGGTCGAATTCGAACCGCGTTGCGTGATCGGAATCGCGCTCGCTGAAGGTGTTTGCCTTCAGGGAAGTCGTGTGATGTGTACGCAATTGCGCACAATTCTGTGAGTCACTTATAACTGCTTTGTCGTTACTTATTGCCAATTATGGACTCAAACTATTGTCCTATCATCTCGTAGAGTCCCTGGCACATAATAATATGCTACACAGTGGTAGTGGGGGTCGCAAAATGCCTATGTATTACTAATAAACCCCAATGATCCGATCGAAATTAGGAATTTCGATCGGATCTTTGCGGGGTCACGTGCCCTCCCCCCCACTGGCTCCGCCAGTGAGTACAACAATAGATAATTTTTTTGCAGTGCCCTATGCTGACAAAGTAACCCTGCAGGGGCGTACAACACCTGTTTTATGCATGGTGGTTGCCCATCCATGCATTGTCCAGGCTAAAACCTGCTTGGCTTCCCAGATACGACCGCGGTGGGGTGCATTCCAGGTGATTTGGTCATGGACGGATCATAGGTTGAGTGTACTGCGTCACCATCTGAGGCCTGAGATATGAAATGTGGTACGCTGCGCATAATAATCGAATAAACATTAGTGCCTCATCTACGAAGCGGAATTCTTAGATGCAAAACGGCAGGTAAAAGAGTGCACTGTGGATACTGGGAAGAATCACACATTGGCCTGACCCTACGGACGTTCTTTTGGGGTAATTTTCCCAAAATGTATTCTGATCGTACGATCGGTGTCATGTCACAGAATGAAGTGTCCTTTCCGATCTCTTAGTAGGGCGCTGCAACCCTTTGCATTGCAGAATGGCCCACAGAAGCAGATATGACAGAGCTACCTCTTAAATTCCTCCGAGTGACCGCTGGTCAACACGCAGTAAAGGGGGCAGAACTTTCCCCATCACTATGCATATGATAATGATGTTCTTCACATGACGAGAAAACTGATATTTTAATTCTCATAGTTGGAATTTAGCCGAATTAATGGAAATCCAAATTTAACGTGATTGTATTTTTGTGTAGTCATCGTTGACTGAGCTCAGACCATCATCTCACTATGCTTGAGGACCCTGATTAATTGCAGCCACCTTGCCTGGATTGAACTATGGACATCAGGGATGCCAGGAGTCATAAATAAGTGGACTATAGTTCATAAACGTTTAACAGTACTGTACAGTGGTTTTATGCATGTGTTGTTGTGATTACAATGTTTTTCTTCTCTGAAGCCGTTTGTGAGCCTTTTACTTGGAAGGGCGTGGTACACCCCCACCATGGCCTTTCTACAGTCAGCTGTTGTTGTTCGTGCCATTGTTTTCTGCACGTGTCCTTTC